TCAAGTTTTGGAGTAGACAAATATGCTTTATGCAAATGTTTGTTTATTATCATTTGAACAATGACAAATATACTCATGAATATTAAACACAACAACCTCTGAACATTACAAATATTTGCCTCAATTCAACCTGGAACCTCTCTCATACAGTGTGTGTGTGTGTGTGTGTGTGTGTGTGTGTGTGTGTGTGTGTGTGTGTGTGGAGAGACACTGATGGATCGTTGGAGCCATGTGCAACTCAAGGCATATGCTCGAACGGTAGCTGCAATCATGTTGCGCGCACTAACCGTGCTGAGTGTGCTGACTATTCGTACAATGTCCCACTGTCTGGCTGCCTCGGCGCAGTTGTCGGCGAAATGTCGCTCCTCTGTTTTCATTGAAACAGCTCCTTATATCTTAGCGCAGCTAGCTAGCACCAGATGCTAACAACAATACAAGTAAGGTGTGCGCGTTCTCTCGCTCGGGCCACACATACACACACCCTCCCGGTCCTCCCAACAGCCAGTCGGTGCCTGCCGGTGAGCGTGGAAGTGTGGTCTGCCACAAGCGGGCGGCAGGAGCGGGGCTGTCAGCATCAGCTTGTAGACGGTATTTTAAACTCGATGCGCTCTGAAACTACGGGGCGGCCAAGGAAAAAAAATGCACATGCGTTAATCGCGTTAAAATAATTAGTGGCGTTTTTTATGTTATTAACGCGTTAACTTAACAGCCCTAATATATATATATAAATATATTTAAATAAATAGGTTAAGTTTCATCAGAGGGTCAAAGTCATTTGCAATGTTATTTGCCTAGTATAGCTTTAAAAGAGGATGCACTAATGACATCTTTTAGTGACCATGACCTGCTTGGATGTTTTTTTTTCACTTGTAAACATTTTATATATATTATACGTCTGCCAAAAGAGCAGCTGTGTGCTAAAAAGAACACTTTTGTTTGGTTAAATACAGGAAAAGGAATTATCAACACAGACATCCAGACCACACATTAATGAGATTAGTTTCATCTACATCTGGTTGCCCAGGGGAACGAAGTAACATTATCGACAAGCCCCGCCTATGAAGAAATAAGGGAGGTCCACCCCTTTGCTCCTTTTATTTCTGTTCTCAGCTGAGCAGTAATGGCTGTAACCCACACCACCAGACTCAGAAAGAGGCGTCAGCTCCGCAGAGGAAAGAGAAACAAACGAGGATGATGACAGCGGAGGTAAAATAAACCGTGTTTCATCCATGCGCTCGGCTCAGCTGGCCGAGACAGCCGTGTACCGGGACGATAACTCAGAGTGTAAAGCCAACACCAGTCGACCACATCCTGTTCCCGATAGGCTGTCGAGGGGTTTAATTGAGGGTATTTACTGTCAGTCTCAATCAGCAGAGCAGGACGACACATAATGTGGTTGCTTTAGATCTTCTTAATCCATTTTGAATGTAGGACTGTTTTCTTCAGGCTTGGCCTCGTCCGAGGTGAACTTTAAATCACATTCAATTCACTACTGTTAAAAATTGGCTAGAAGCTTGTATAAATAATTGGAACAGTGCAGTACACACTTTACCACGACATAAATACCATATTCATACATATTTATAAAAAGTGGATCATATGACAGTATTCTGAAATGATGGATGGATTTTAGGGAACAATGCCAACATCCAATTCCCTAAAGAAGCTGAACGGTATTTAAGATTTTCATTATGGCATGAAATCAGCATAAACAAACCGACTAAAGCAAAGTCAAAACTGTTTTCCTGTGCCGTTTTTTCTTTCACATTTATAGTAAGAAAATAGCCAAAGCCCAAGGTGTATGATGATGGCGGGTAGGTGACCCACTTCTCTTGCCACAACATCATTATTTTCATTAAGGACCAAATGTAGCAGTGGCTCTTTTCTCGGCAAAAACATTAACATTGGTGCTTCAGGGATCAGGATGCAGTGATCCATGACTCTGGTTCGGCTATGGCACCTGAGTCTGATCAGCCCACATAGTTAGACAGCTCAGGAACTGGCAGCACCCCCGACTCCTGTCTTCTTAACTCTCTTTTCGGACTCCATTGACCCAGACGCCGTGGCATCGTGAAGCCTGGTGACTGAGCCAATTTGGACCGTTCCATCAGCAAATTGACCACCAGAACTTTCCACAATTAATGAGCTCCTCATTGCTGAACTTTGCAAATGTCAATAGTTTACCAGTAAGATAGCTTCTCTCATAGTTGCAGGACTTCAGCCTTCGATCACACTGTATGATTTACAATTGTCTTAAAGCAAATTAGGTTTAAATGAGGCAGTTGTAACCTGCAACTTCTACAGTAGGTACAAAATCAATCAAAGTTTATTTATATAGCCCAATATCAAACATTTACATTTGTCTCAGTGGACTTTACAGTTCGTACAGAATATGAGTACGACACTCTCTGTCCTTGGACCCTAACATCAGACAAGAAGAAACCCCACAGTTAATGGGGAACAATTGAAGAAACCCAAAGCGAGCCGGTTTACCCTTATGTAGAGTATGTTGGATGGGAGCTGAGTATAGACATGGTACATTCTCAAATAGCCACAGGGGATGCATTGACCAGAGCAAAGAACAGACCAATGGCTTTCTCTTTTTTCAAGACAACCAATATTAAAGATTTGCCCACTTATTTTTTTATACATCGGTGTTAAATCCCAAATTGTCGGGTGTTTCATTTTAAAAGCCCATAATCAGATAAGACGGCATCTAGTCCTCCAGGTAGCCCCTTTATTTTATTACACTGTATCTGCAGTTCAACACCATTAAAGAAAATTAAACCTTGGGTCAAAGCGCTCACCTTGTTGCCGGTCCCAGCACAGCAGATGCCCAGGGCCATGGCCGCCCCACAGCGCACATGAGGGTTGTAGCTCTCTGACAGAAGTGACACCACACTGGGACACTGCTCAGGGGTCCTGAAGACACAGGGAGACATTAAGAGCAGGTAAACAATAAGGCACTTGAACTTACTCCTAAAAACATCCTTCCACTCCCTTTAATTCATACTTGGCTGAACCCTCAGACACACATTTTCAATTTAGGGTGTTTTCATCAATCCATTATAGGATGAAAGTCTAAAATCAACAGAGAACAAAAATTTAACAAATAATTTAATCTAAAGCCCTTTTAAAGATTGTCTAGATACAAGATAACCCAATTACCTTTAATCCCAGGAAAAAGGGAATCAATATCCTGCATTTGTTTATTCTTAAAAAGGCAGTGAAGCAATGACGCCTGAATGTCAAGCCTAATGTAAATATCTTCATAATGTGCGCTGGGCCTAAAAACCTCAGATGAGAAAAGATAATAAAAAAAGATGACATGTTAATCTTGTGACGGCTTGCTATTCCATTCAGCCTGATAAGGACAATTAAATCTAACAAAACCTATTATTTATTCTTTGGAAACATGAAGACCTTGAACCTTTCTGCAATCCACAGTGTACTTTTGTACTCCGACCTTTTTACCATATTTGTGCTTTAAGACTTTGGTCATAGAAGCAATATGTGAAATATTTACTTAAACAAAGGTTACAAAAATTCACGAGGCTTTTACTTGACCGGTTAATGGACTGTATGATTATATGTGCATGCCTCACAGCTACTACGGTGAGTGACAGAAGCTGATACAGCTGCAACTTAATAACTCCCTCTGAGATACACACACACACGATTGATTTTGCCACATGAAATGTGATTGTTGCAGTTACTAATGCACCCGCATAGTAAGGGGCAGATCTCATTAGCTTGCTTCCTCTCTTTTCCAACCCCTAACCCAAATACATTGTGAAAGAACCTGGACAATGTTGCAATAAACAAGCCAAGAGGCTGGATGGATATAGTCAACACTATAATTAAAATCAAAAGGAAATCAACTGTCTAGCAAAAGGGAAACAAGAGAAATTGTAAGTAGCATCAGGGGAATTGTTGTTTTAATTAATTAGCATATCTCCCAGAGAACAGAATACAACCCAACACTAATACGGAGTTTCCCAAGAACAATAACTGCCGATTGCTACAGCAGTTTGAAAGTCTGCAAAATGTGTAGATCTGACAATCGATGTTACAATCTCAGTCAGCAAGATTGATATCATTTAAAAAGAATGTGCCTGTTTGGCATGCATTTGATATGCTAGAGCAGAAGTCAGCATACTGCTAGCAGCACACCTTCAGCTGTTCTTTGCATCATAAACAAAAATATATAGAGATTTTTTTTTAGCAAATGGGAAAGAAACAGTAAAGATTGGCTGGGGGAACTCAGATTTTCACCAGCAATCACACATGTAAAGTCTTAAAGCCAACCCATTAACAAGCAACCCATTTAAAAAGGAGCAAAAAGAGAACAGGGGTAACTCATAATAACTGCATTTATTAAACCACCTTTCTTATGGGGCACTATAAGTGAATTATCACTAGGAACATTTGGTCTATGGGCTGCCCTTTACTGGAAGACACAGGTTACACAGATGTTACTGGCGTTCACACATTGTATTGTTGAGAATCATCATCTGGTTTCTGTAAATACCAAGGAGCTTTTATTTCTATTTTTTGCATCTGCTTTAAAAAGCAAAGTGTACACTGATCGAAAACACAACGTTTATTCGGAAAGATCAAAGGAAAAAAAACAAATGTGGAATACATTTCAGAAGAAGTCATGTATAAGAAAATTGGATAGCGGTTTCAAATTACATTCCCAACACGACAATTTGAGCTCAGAAGACAAACTAAAAACAGCAATGGGGAACAAGTGTAATTTTCAAGTACCTCACCACACAGAGAGCTTATCCCCATAAACCCCGTCCACACAACCCAACAATGCTTCGGATGGAGGAGTGAACAGAAAGTGACAAATATAAACAGTGGGACGGCTGTGTTGAGGGAAATTACCTCCCAGAACCACTGGCATACTGCCAGTACAAAGACATTCATCTGTTTTGTACAGAGTGCGACTCACGGGCAAGACGGAGGGGAGGGAGGGGAAGAGAGAGAGCAGACAAGACGGGGGAGAGCGCGGCTGATCACAGGCTGTTAACAAGAGGCAGCGAATGGGAATGGGAGAGAGGTGGAGGAGCCTCAACATCTGAAAGTTTTAAACCTGTGATCGCTGTAGGTGATGCGAGGCAAGACTGGGGGATCCTCCAACATGTGGAAGGAAAACAAATTCCACATCACGGACTGCTTCAGACAGAGACAGATTTAGGATTAACCGCTGAAGGAGGGCATTTTTTGTCACGTTCTTATTTGCGGAGGGCGGAAAATATAAGGATGATTCGGGAGTTTAAACAATATGTTAAACTAAGAGGTGTGCTAAGACTGAAATGCATTGGTTAAGCTGCACTGTTCTCCCAGCAAGAAATACTGCTAAAGTGTTTATAAAGGTGAAAACGTAGCGGCTCGGAAAAATACTCATGGAGTTGAAACGTCAACGAGGAACTTACAACAGATGCTACTTACAGGAGCAGGTAAGACAACTTACAGAATCATGATAATGCTTATTAACAGTGTCAGTTTTGTATTTAATACTGTTTGATTCTGTGTTATCCATTTGACTCAGATTATTAAAATTCTATATCCCTGATTAATGTACAAGTTGTATAAAAAAATAACCATTGTGTTCTATTAACTTTAACACGTGTTTGTTTAGATACAATTTCTTATATAAGACCATTAAAAATGTCATATATTACATTTATAGCTAAAGTTAACGAGACTCCCAAAATACATTTGGAAGGCTCGTTACCAATGATTCCTTTCCTTATACAGACATGGTTTTTTTTTTTAAGTAGCCGCAGAGGATTAAAAGAGTACCAACGGCCTGGGAAAGGGAGGACCCCTGCTGACATCTCATTGTGAAAATACCAATAAGGTTGGGATTACTACCAGCTTTGGAGCTCGTGCTGTGGACCTGTTTTTTGTCCCCCTCGAAGTGGTGGATCCTCTGCTGATTTTGAGCTACTCCTTTTGCTGTACAGTGCACATGGGGATGAAGCATCCTGTGCAGCGACCCTGAACTGTCCTTGCCTGTAGGACGCAGTGACCATGCTGACCGAGTGTCCAACACCAGGAAGATCAGAGCCCAGACCCAAGCTAAAGCCTGCTGTAATCTCTGCAGCACCATGTCTCAAGAAGTCCCTGCTCCGCCCGAGGCCAACAGCTCGCTGTCAGGGGAAGCGCCTGAGCTTCAGCTGAAATGGGCCGCCCTGCTTATTGTCATGGTCATCATCCCCACTATTGGAGGAAACATCCTGGTCATTCTTGCCGTGTCACTTGAGAGAAAACTTCAGAACGCCACAAACTACTTTCTGATGTCGCTTGCCGTGGCTGATCTGTTGGTGGGACTCCTAGTGATGCCCATTGCCCTCGTCACCGTTCTCTACAGTAAGTTTAGCATAGGGGCCTGTGTTTGAAAACTTATCGGTGAAACAAACCTCTGCTATACACAAACAATAACACTTTACCCTACTGGGAGAAAACATGTATTTGTTTATGCACAAATCAATTCCTTGTTAACAATCTAAAGAAATACTGAACTAAATGATAAATGACATTACGATAAAACAAAATTAAACCCCCGCAAACCATTACTAAAAACACGTTCAAGAAAGTAATCCATGTGTTTTTGTTGAGTGGAACATTAAACATTTTTGGAATTACTTTCTTTGCCTTTCTAATATACAAGGGGAAACAGGCCAGCATACTTCTCTCATAGCAAAGAGGATACAAATACTTTGTAAGCAACACTAGATACGATCTTGACTATCACTCAACAAATTAATGAGAAGGAAATATAACCACAGATAGTGGACAGTAAACATGCTACTTCCTCTGGCAGTGCTGTGGGAGCAGTTGCACATTAGCAACAGTACAAAAACAGTTTTATGCATTTCCAGTGACAGTGTGGTGGTAATGAAGCTACATGCTACCAACTAAAACGTTTATCATACAAAGCTATGTTTTAGCTAGTATTCCCCATTAATTCAACAGAAGCATAATAAGCCCAAACATAATTAGGTCTCTCACTGTGTGACGCTGGTCTATGTGTGGCTTTGCCTGTCTCACATTTCCTGTTTTGCATGAGAACTGGATGTGTAGCGCTGAAAGGCCTGCTCAAGTCAAAGTGGTCACAGGTGCTGCTTTCATCTTTTCCTAATGCAGAGGCTACATGAGTAAAGACCATGCAATTAATTTACTATTGCATCTATACTGTTACACTGTGTTAATCAACAACAGCATTTTGAAAGTGAGTGTGTTCACTAACTTGTAATTGAGGATTTAAGGCAGTCCCGAGGAAGACAATCTTTCAATGAGCCAACAGTATGGCATGCTGATCGCAAACTGAGTTTCAAATGAATGACCTTTAAACTAAATTAACTGTAATGAAAATAGATTGGTTATTGAAATGGGGGGCAGCACAATGATGCAAGGCATGTCAGTGGGACTTGTGTTTGTTTGCTGCTCCATCGCTGAATGTCAATGAAGTCGGCTAAATGTCTTCTGAACCAGACGCTGGGACAAGCAACCTTACTGCAGTCCAGTGTGACTCAATCTTTTGCAACTTTTACTTTCTCTGACTTTGTGAAAATCTGATGTTTTCAAATCCAAGATGATGAACATCTTAAATGTAAACCTGAAAAAGCAAGGCAACAATAGGAATGCATTTAAGATTACTGCCGAGTCATGAATATTCCACATCTGCTTGGCAGATGAAGTGAAAGCATACAGGGAACGCCTTAAAAAAAAAAAAAAAAAGAGTAAGAAATCGGCATATTTAAAATTAGCTGTAAATGTAAAATATAGCACTGCGTGACAAAAGTTAAAGACTCTTTTATTTTTATTTATAAGGGATGATTTAATTTTGCTTTCCCAAGTATTGCATCTGCAGGGCATCATCCCTCAACACACTACACTGCCGACTGAGTCAAGGTTTTTACCTCCAATAGCTATATCAAACAATCATTTTCTTTTCTTTAAAAGAGCTGCAGGTCAGATGTATTTTTTTTTTCCATTTCATAAGTTTTATGGCAGGGAGTTTTGGTTAATAAACACAAGCCACACTATTGACGATAGGAATAGTAAAAGGAATACTCCAAAAAGATCAAGACAAACCACAGCAAACAATGTTTTACAACGCATAACTGGGTAGGATAAGAAACAGCTAATTGTATGTGCTATATTATTATAGCACATACTCCTCTGTTGCTCTCCCTGAGGTTTCTCCCATGTTCCCTTTAAACTCTGGGTTTTCTCCGGAAGTTTTTCCTTGTACGATCTGTCTAAGGACAGAGGGTGTCGTATTGTCATACTGATATTCTGTACAAACTGTGAAGTCCACTGAGACAAATGTAACATTTGTGATATTGGGCTATATAAATAAACATTGATTGATATATTACACAACATACATATAATTATCAAAAAGATGTATACTTAATACTAATATAATTAAATAATGATGCAGTTGAGATTTGCAATCTCACAAATGTGACAAACAGAATGAGTTCCTATGCAAAGTACTGAACACAGCCTTGTGCAACCAGAAAATGCTGAACATCCATAATCCTCCCTGAAACCATTTCAATATAAATGGTGTTTGAACATTTTCAAAAGCCAACCTTTTGAAAAATACAACAACAACAAAATCACACTGCTTTGCTGATTTTCTTCCCATACTGTATGTTCTGAATGACTTCAAAGTAAACCCAAATAACTAGTGCTGGCCAGCTGCAGTAGGATCACGAACATTTGCTTTCTTAAGTTCATAATTCAATTAAACGCAATAGAATATGTTCCCTTGTACAGATACTTGGAGCTTGCAAGCTACAGTGTTTATTGAATTTGGCATTGGACAAAACACTTCACAGAACACATACAGAGGATCTACTTTGAGAACTAGTGGATGTGTCAATGCATAAGCTTTCCAGATGAAACCTAATCAAAACTATGACTCAATAATTCCAAGTGTGACAACTGGTGTAGACAGCCAGGGGAGGGTGGCACAACAAAACACAATTATGTAAAAGGAATATTACATTTTTAGTAATGTTAATGGTCGACAGGACAAAAGCCAGAATAGTTTCTTGCCAATTTTTATGCCTGGAACTGAAAATAAACACTACTGTTGAGCGTAGTCACCAGCACGTCTTCATAATGAGCTTTTAGCTCCATAAACAGTAAGTGAACCCTCCTTTTTCCAGTAAACTCATTCCTCATAAGGATAAATAAACAGCAATATTTTGTGTGGGTGCTACTTGTAATCCTAGCCTTTGTTGCAAACCTCCTGTAAATGGCCAAATGGCCTCCTGTAACACCAAATCATCTTTGGGGAAAATAAAATCAGTTTAATCATGATAAGATTATAGGGATAGGTGAAAAGCAAATTTTTTTTTTTTTAAAAAGATAACCGCTTACTGTCCAACTGAACTAATTCACTTGTCTTTTTTCTTTAGACTCCGGCTGGCCTCTTCCAGAGCCCCTCTGCCCCATTTGGCTGTTCCTCGATGTGCTGTTTTCTACTGCATCCATCATGCACCTATGCGCCATTTCACTGGATCGCTACATTGCCATCAAGAAGCCAATCCAACACAGCCAATACAAATCCAGAGCCAAAGCGATGGTGAAAATTGCACTGGTGTGGCTCATATCCATTGGTAAGCATATCAAATCAGATTTCCTCAACTTTCACAACGCTGCAGTGGTTTTTACTTTAGACAAGTTATTTCTCCAGAAGTCTATTTCGTCACACAAAATATATGGCAGACCTGGTTTGTGGACGCAGAATTATTTGCCGGATGCAATACTATACAAACCACACCCTGCGTTTGTAATGGAAAGGAGGGTTAGGGAGAACAAAATGTGGCCAAATTCACTGAGACATTACTGATCAATGCTTGATGCCCAGTAAACAAAATACTTAAAGAAGCAGGTTTTGCTGAAGGGTTTAATTTCATTTGAGCTTCATTTCATGACCGAAGCCAGAAGTTCCGATGGAATGAAGGCAGCAGCACTTATACGGAGTCTCAGTATATATGCAGAGTAACAACTCTCCTGCTGTTAGCAGTTTTAAGAAACATCATGGCAAGTGATGGATGATTAGTTTACTTGCTTTTAAAAACAAAAAGGAAAGCCTCAAATCATAATGTGCCTTTTCTTCCTGACAGTAACCGTTAACTAAACATGAACCTTTTGTCGATACTATTTAATAATACTATCATACACGTGAAATTAAAATTAAACACAGGAATGTCTGTGTGAAAATGAAATCGAAACGGTTCTTCTGTTGTTAACATGAAACATACAAATAAAAAAAAAGCGATATTACAAAAGGAATATACAATTTCCAATGTTTTACCAAAATGTACTGTTATTGTCATTTTCCAGGTATCGCAATCCCAATTCCGATAAAGGGGCTTAGGAACAATCATCTTCCCAACAACATCACCTTCAACAGTAACCACACATGCCTTTTGAAAACGGACACCTTTCGGGAATTTATCATGTTTGGCTCCTTGGTGGCATTCTTCATCCCTCTGACTATCATGATGGTCATCTACCTACTAACTGTCCAGGTGTTACGCAAAAAGGTGTATCTGCTCAAGTCAAGGGTGTCTCAGCGCTTTAGCTACCTGGCAATCTCCACAGTTTTTCAAAGAGAACAAGCTCTAACGCCAACGCAAGTTGAGCAACCCAACATGCTGGACAGCAGACTTCCCAGGATACAAGAACGAACATTTGCAGGCACGTCAAACTCTCCAACAGCAGATGAAATATCCTTTCGTAGAATGTCAACAATGGGCAAGAAGTCAATGCAGACTCTGAGCAATGAGCAGCGCGCCTCCAAAGTGCTAGGCATCGTCTTCCTCCTGTTTGTGGTCATGTGGTGCCCTTTCTTCATCACTAACATCACCTCGGTATTATGCACCAGCTGTGACGTTCATGTCATTGCCCATCTCATGGAGATCTTTGTTTGGGTGGGTTATGTGTCATCAGGCATAAACCCGTTGGTCTACACCCTATTCAACAAAACGTTCAGGGAAGCATTCACGCGGTATATGACCTGTAATTACGAAAACCCTGCTACTAATGGTCCAGGAAGGCAGCCAAGGGCATCAAATGCAGATCGGACCCTTACACGGATTTCATTCCGATCTTCTATGGCAGAAAACTCGAAACTTTTCATGAAAAATGGCATTGGAGCCGTTGGCTACCAAAGCCCCACTGAGGTGCAGGCAAGCCCCTATGCAGTCAGTCAATGGTATTGTATTAGACACAATGCTTCTGACTGAAAATGAAGGTAGTAAGCAGGAGGAAAAGGTTAGCTGTGTATAGAGATAGACCGAGGATTTGAACCTAAAATGTGCACTTTAAATCAGTGAGATTTATGTTGCCCACATTGTATCTCTTTGAAGGCTAAGTCGACATAACTTGGCTAGGCTACCTACAACAAATACTCAAAATGCATGATTTTGAATCTGCGGTTACTCTCAAATTCATTGACAAATCATTTAACAAAAGGGTATTGCTGTAGAATAAAAAAGAAGAGATTAAACCTGTCTGCTGATGTACATCTGCTTCCATCAGTAATATACTTTAAACAAATAAGACATTCATCATTTCAAATACACATATTAAATGCATAAGTCAAAGTCCTATGTTAAATAAGGGTGTATATAGATGTTCAGAATACTTCTCATTTAGCCTTTTAGACAGGTCAAATTGCTGTTTAAAGACAGTTTATAACGTACCAGAAGACAGTTTGCATTTTAAAATGTTATAAAACCTTACAGGTCAACTCAAAAAGACCACAGGTAAAGAAACAATGATATTAAAGGTTTAAAAGTTCAAGCCACCAGACAAAAATGTAAGGAATTAAAGCATGATAAGATAACCTGGAATTATGTATGAATACAGTATAATATATATATATATGAGTTTTATGATCCTTTCAACTTGGGCTTTCTGAATATGCTGTAAACCATCTCAAACCACATGTTCATATTTTGTTAAGAGAAAACACAAGTCTACCTTTCAAATCTATTTTCCAACTGACAACATTTGCACTGTCGAGATAATGTTACTTGTATTTGCTGGACCTTTGACAAGCACTCTTGTATATGTAATGCGGCCTGCTGTTTTGATATGTTAGGAGATTTCCAAATAAAAGACTGTATATAATAAAGAACAACATTTCATATTAAATAGAATCCTAAATGTGTTTAATACAATATTTGTCCATTATGCTTAAAGGTGGAGTAGGTAAGTTTGAGAAACCGGCTCGAGATACACTTTTTGTTATATTCCATGGAATGCTCTGAACATCCCGATAGCCGGCCCGGCTAAAGTAACTGGATGGCCTACCTGCCTGTCAGCCTTCCATCTGTGCACAAACTTACCTCGTGCCCTCATTGGTCATGTGCGCGTTCGTGTGTGTTGGAGGAGGGGCTCTGTAAGGAAGTGGCAGATTTCTTCCGGCTGTGTATTTTCAAATTCTCGCGCACTCGAGCCGGTTTCTCCAAAATTACCTACCCCACCTTTAACTGAAAGAAAACTAACAATTCTCAGCATCCATGTTTTTCCTTTCTATGTCTACACTTTTATGCTACTTTATTTCAGCACCAAGTAAAATATCTTTCTCATGAAACAGCACAACAGTAAAGATCGCATCAAAAGATCGGCAAACATGAGCAAGTAAGAAAACTGTGGGACAGTGTGCTCGGCAAAAACCCTTTTTTACAGTCCCTTCATGCTTTTGAAGAGCAGTTTTGTAAGCAAGACAATGCTAAATTCCAAATACATGGTAGTATAAACAGCTGAACGGAAACTTAATTAAAGAAAATATAAACAGTGTTTGATCAATGTGGAGCAAACTTTGAGACTTGGTATGCGAGCTTGGAGTGTTACCATTTAATTATTTCCTAGACCGACCCCGTCTCATTGTTAAAAAACAGAGACTCTTTGTACTGAAAGTAGTCTTTGTGCTAATGTACATGTTGGGGGGGGGGGGTTATCATTGCTTTAACCATTAAGAAGTTGTGGAACAGGAGACCAATTGAATTGTTCCGCTTCTAAAGCTTTGTAAACAGTGAAGATATATGCAGCTTTCTCAGAAACAGAAACACATTCCACGAAAACCAACATATTAAATTCCAGACAACAGTGCATCCAAATTCTCCTCTCTCAGAGAAGGTGTTCATGCTTGAGCAAACAGCACCTTGTCAGCAGTACCAAACTACAAAGGTAAGTGTTCGTTAAAGAGTTACACTTTGTATGGAAAGCAGGAACCAGTAAAAATACTTCGGTGACAGATTTGCCATAAACACATCAGACCAAGTAGGAGATTACCCCGAACATCGTATAACGGAATCTATTTCAGGTAAATCTCTAATGAAAAGTTAACTATAGGGCTGGTTATAGTTATAATATACACACGTATTCCAGAACACTAGCTTCAGTATTGTACCAAAACAATACTTCCTAGTGAACATCTTGAGAAATTCATTTCTCACATTCAACAAAATGATCCAAACTAAAAAGATGCAATTTTGCACGTTTACATTTTGGCCAAGATCATGAGGCTCAATAGAGAAAAGCATGTAGTGGATTTATGCAAACTAAACAGACAGTTCAGAGCATTGTTGTCCTTACCTGAACAAGATGAAGCCAATGGACTCGACAGCAGCCCTTCTGACGTCATCATTCACATCACTCACCTTCATTAAGAGAAGTAAAGAGGTCAAATTACCAAAGTGGAAACCTAGAGTCATCATATCTTGCAAATAACTTCAATGATTTAACTCCCTGATGTAGTGTGAGGAATATGCTCCACTACCACACCCTCTATGAGCTTGTATTAAGCTGCCACCTACAGGACAACATTTTGTTCACAGCCCTCACTCATGTTGTACTGAAAGCACCGTGATTAGCATATACTTACATTCACTATAGTCCATCATCATAGTGATGCAATGTTGGATCCTACAGTACACTCAGGTAAACAGTAGACTGATGTGATATGTTAAAAACTGAAGCGTATGGTTTAAGCAAAGACAAAATATTTCACTTATATGAAACTTATCGTGGATCTTTTAACAATCACAGTTATTATTATACTATATTGCAAAAGGGACTTTGACTCCTTGAAAAGCAATATAAAATATAATTTATTATTAAATGAATTGTATAATTATGCCAGGCAAAGATGTGCAGCCCTGGCTGTTGGCAGTGTTTCACTGACCGAACGACAAACCCGTACTCCTCTCTTTGAATAATGTGTTTTGGAGAGGGCCAAATAAAAAAAAACACTTACAGCGACATGAAGCAGGCGTCGGATGGCCTTGTTGTTCCCGGAGCCGCAGTAGGCCATTCCCACTGAGTACATACCAGAGCGCCGCAGAATGGGGTCCTATCAGAGAGAGCAAGGAGAGCACGTTTTAAGACCAGATCTAGCCCTTATAAAGAGGAAGCGCATCAGCTGTGACTTGACATACACATACAACACTTAGATACAGGAAAATGTACAGAACTCAAAACATCATACATTTAAAAATTGCATCATTTATGAAAGGTTTATAGAGAGCAGTGTTTCCCCTATATACAAATAGTGGCTAACCCAAAAAAATTATTTTTTACTTTTTATTAAAATAATAATAAGTGGCGATCCTATGGGCTTAGATATGTCTCAATTATTTGTGTGAACATAAAAATAATTTGTGTGTAAATATGTGATTTGGAAATGTAAAACACCATCCACAAATTTAAAAGATTTGCAAACTCACAAATAAATGTGCAAGTGTAAAACGGATCTGCAAATACGCTAAATATGTTCACAAATAAAAAAAAGATCTGTGATTATCTCTTTAACATAGACAACTTTCGATCAGGCATTTGTGAATCCATTTTGTATTTGCCGACCAAAACTGCGCTTGCGGATCTCAAATCTCTGCTCGTGGATCTCACATTTCTGCACGGAATTTTGAGACGTATTTTCCGCCGCTCTCGGCTAAAATCTACTCGTGTCACTCGGTGATTTTCGGAAACCACGTGATGGCCTGCTGATGACGACATTTCCGCATGATTGTTTGTTTAATGCTCTGTTTTTTTATTATAATGAACAGCGGAACGTTAGATGCATTCTTTATCACCATCACCATCACCATGTTATAGTGATACAGTTAGTTTGTGTTAGTTTATTGGATCAATATAGCATATATCGAGCACATGCATTGATGTTGAAGTATACGCCACTTTCGGGTCCCGGGGGAGGGGAGCAGCTGGCAGCGAAGCAGCCCAGAAAAAACTCTTCATTGTTTGTTGTGTATTCAGTCAAGCGGGTCAAAGTTACAAAGCACTTCACATCTATGGTGATCACGTGGTTTCCGAAAATAACCGAGTGACGAGTAGATTTTAGCCGAGACCGGCGGAAAATATGTCTCAAAATTCCGTGTGTAAAAAGACGATCCACAAGCAGAAATGTGAGATTCACAGGCAGAGATTTGAGATCCGCAAGCGCAGTTTTGGTCGGCAAATACAAAATGGATTCACAAATGCCTGATCGAAAGTTGTCAATGTTAAAGAGATAATCACAGATCTTTTTTTTTTATTTGTGAAAATATTTAGCGTATTTGCAGATCCGTTGACATTTGCATATTTATTTGTGAGTTTGCAAATCTTTTAAATTTGTGGATGGTGTTTTACATTTCCAAATCACATATTTACACACAAATTATTTTTATGTTCACACAAATAATTATGAGACATATCTATGCCCATACGATCCTTTTTCATTTTTGATTGTTTTTTATGTGGATTTGTAGTATTTGTGTTACTGTATGTTCAATAAAGGTGTATTTTTGCTAAATGTTGAGACATTGCCACTGTATGTACTAGGCAGGGCCGATTTTTGGCATAGGTCGCCTAGGGCGCCAGATCTGGGGGGGCTGCGCTGGTAGCTCTGGGAGGAAAAAAACATTTTTGACCGTTGGCGCTCATCCACATTTTCGGCCTTGATGTAACAACATTCATAATTAAGTAAATGTAACACCCTTTTCATCCCGGTTACACTTTTCATTTGCCCTGTACGATGGGCGTTGTAAGTGATGAAAGTGGGGGATGTTGGCTTATCTGGCACCCGCAGTGCACAGCCAAAATGCGAGCGAGAGAGAGGGTGGGTGCACCGGTACCGGCGCTGTTGTTATTAGAATCTGGTGCTAGCAGCGCTAACAGATATAAGAAGAAGATGTTTCTACAACCAGGGTGGAAGAGAGCTCTCCTGTCACACTGAGAGGCTCAGTGAGGTAAAGGACTCTTACCCCTTTCACACCAGCGCTTTTTCAGCTCCGGCTCGGAGCTGGAGCCTGAAAAGCGCCGTTTTTTCCTGTTCACACCGCAGCGGCGCCGGCTCTTAGCTCCGGAATCCGGTTCACTTCCAGCTCCAAAAAATTGTCGGTCTAGAGGCAAGAGCTTCGGAGCTAAGAGGTGGCGTCGCTTACGTCTCTCTTACGTCGAGGCGTGCAGGAAACTAAACCCACCTCCCCTGAACATGGGTCGACTGTCATGCCTGCCTACAAGCAGTAGTGCTTATAAACACACTTTATAAAGTCAGGCAACACTAACCAGGCTTCGTGTGATTCTGTTTATTTGTACCTTACTTTGACCATCCGTTCACTGTTATTGATCATTCTGGAGAGAGGCAGACGTGTTGTTTTGTATTATAGCAGCTATCGGATGGAATCAATACATGGGCTGCACAGGTTGTCGTGTCCGACTATCACAAGTAGAATCATAATAAAAATACGCCGGTAAAATGTGCCTGTAGAAAACGGTTTATGCCACAATAGGATAGCAATAGCAACAAGTAGTCAGTTTAGCTTCGGTTGCTATGCTAACATCACCCATTTTCAGAGAAACTTTCATAACAGCGTTGTGATACCAAACAGCGTCAATTCAGACTGACACACATTCACTTAGGCTAAGGGGAACTGGGGATATGTATCAGCTGCTTGTGTGAGTCGGACAGTGAATACTTTAGAGGGGCCGCTGCAGTGTGAGCTAACCGGGAGCTAACGGAGGAGAATAAACTCCCGTGGAAGAGCAGCCAACACTGCAGCGGTCGGTAAATGCCGCAGAAACACATTAATAAACAATGAACCACGGCACTCTGGAGCAAAGTATAAGGTTGGAAAAGTCGTTATTCAATTTAT